CTTAAGTTGTGGTAGTGCAGAGGTCATTAGTGCTCTCGTCTTGCATTTTGGCATCCTTGGTTCAGTACCAGCAGGGACTGTATCAAATTCATATTCACTAGCTCTTTGTTCTAGATATATTTGCTGCTATCAAAATTGGCCTTATGAATGTGTGCTTTTTTGATTTGTAACAAAATTAGATTGGAAGTCCCACTGGTGCAGGGACTGATGTAAACAGTCCTGTGTATACTGCAATAGGCTGGCACTATAAAAAGAAGGGAACTATATTATTACAAAAAAATAAATAAAATGACCAGATGTTTGTATGCTGGTATGTTTTTTTATTTGTTCAGTTCACTCGAAACATCATGACGGTACTTTTACCCTTGAAGACAGAACCATAGTTTGGAAGACTCACAAGTCCATAGCACTCTCAAGTCTTCTGTCCTATCTAGCCCAGCTGATTCTGCTGGCTACCTCCTGCATCCATCATTTCCAAACCTAAATTTGCTTGTAAAAGATGTGAACTCGCACACATCTGGTCTGGTAGCATTGGAACACTCCTTCCTCAACTGCTGATGCATTTCACCCCCTACTAGGGCCTAAGTAGGTAGGTAGGTGAGGAATTCTAATTATACAATATAGCTAATATAGAATTACATTTTTGGTTGTTTTTTTTTCTTACCTTCCTCTACCCCCATTATATTAAAAAAAAAAATTGTCAGGTTATACTTACCTGTCTTTCTGCCTATTTCCTTTCAACCAAGCCTGTGTACACATTCCCTAGGTGTGTCATCACACAGGTTTGACTTACAATACTCCATAAATGAGTGGTGCTCACATGTCATGAAGACTACTCAGTCCTGGAAGAATGCTTGGCGCCTGCCAATGCCAGAGGAAGAAGATGAAGCTGCAGTGACCAGATCAGGTAGAATACTGTTGAAAATAGGGGATTTTTTAAATTAAAAACACCAGGGATTGGGAACAGGTGGATGGTCGAAAAGCAGAAATTCCATGTTAGGTGAAATTACGGTGTAGAAATAAAACTAAATAGCAATATTGTTCCACTTTCTAATCCCTGTAAAGCTATGCTGTTATCTCCAGTGCAGTAAACACATCATCTGCATTGCCATGTGAAGAAGTAATTTGATGTTTATAGTCTACGATCATTAAGAATGTGTCTGGGTACGTGTGACATTTAAAACCTATCTCCAGGCAAATATAAAATATACAAATAAAGTAGCTATATATTAAGTAATAAAATATTCATTGTATGTTTAAATGCAGCTAGTGGATGTGCCACAATCTGACTTAGATTGTTGCAATGCCCTGTAAAGGGGCACTCAGACTGGAAGAGGGAAGGGGTAGCATGGGTGGCAATTGGGTGTGTTGCCAAGGAAAATACTAATAGGAGGAAAAAGCAGATTAAAATGAAACTACTCTGCATCTGAGTACCACAAATCATATACACTAATTATTTTTTTAATATTTAAAGCAAACTCACCCATCTATTCATGTGTCCATGGTTTATTTTGCTGAAATCACTTTTAAAAACACCCCCTAGCATTTCTGGCCCTAGCCATCTTGACTAAGGGCAGATGATTCGTGTAGCATTTAGTTCCTGGAACCCATCTTACCTTAGCTAAGGCATGCAGGCAAGAGGGTGTGCTTAGCTCCGAAAGCCCCTCCTCTCCTGCAGACTCCTGGGATGTATGCATCATTTGCCTTGGCATGGAATCCAGAAAGTAACTGAAGAAAAGAAAAGTAAAAGTTTAAAACATAAATCTAATATACATTCCTATCTACACTGCTCAAAAAGAATCAAAGGAACAGTTTTTAATCAGAGTATAGCATCAAGCCAATTAAACTCCTGGGATATTGATCTGGTCAGTTAAGTAGCAGAAGGGGTTGTTAATCAGTTTCAGCTGCTTTGGTGTTAATCAAATTAACAGGTGCACTAGATGAGCAACAATGAAACGACCCCCAAAAGAGGAATGGTTTTACAGGTGGAGGCCACTGACTGTTTCTCAATAGTTTTGCATTTGGCTAGGGTCAGTTTCATTACTGGTAGCATGAGGCAATATTTGCACCCTACAGAGGTTGCAAAGGCAATCCAATTCCTCCAGGATGACACATCATCAATACGTGGCATTGCCAGAAGGTTTGCTGTGTCTCCCAGCACAGTCTCAAGAGCATGGAGGAGATTCCAGGAGACAGGCAGTTACTCTAGGAGAGTTGGACAGGGCCGTTGAAGGATGAGCACTGCCAGAACCCTACAAAATTACCTCAAGCAGGCCACTGGTGTGAATGCCTCTGACCAAACAATCAGAAACAGACTTCATGAGGGTGGCCTGAGGGCTCAACGTCCTCTAGTGGGCCCTGTACTCACTGCCCGGCACCATAGAGCTCGATTTGCCATTGAACACCAGAATTGGCAGGTCCACCACTGGTGCCCTGTGCTTTTCACAGATGAGAGCAGGTTCACCCAGAGCACAGATGCGAAAGAGTCTGGAGAAGCCATGGAGAACATTATGCTGCCTGTATCATTGTTCAGCATGACCGTTTTGGTGGTGGGTCAGTGATGGTCAGGGGAGGCATATCCATGGAGGGATGCACAGACATCTACAGGCTAGACAAAGGCACCCTGACTGCCATTAGGTATCGGGATGAAATCCTTGGACCCATTTTCAGACCCTACACTGGTGCAGTGTGTCCTGGGTTCCTTCTGGTGCATGACAATGCCCGGCCTCATGTGGCGAGAGTATGCAGGCAGTTCCTGGAGAATGAAGGAATTGATACCATTGAATGGCCCCCACGCTTGCCTGACCTAAATCCAATAGAACACCTCTGGGATATCATGTTTCGGTCCATCCGACGCCACCAGGCTGCACCTCAGACTGTCCAGGAGCTTGATGATGTCCTTGTCCAGATCTGGGAGGAAATACCCCAGGACAGCATCTGTCATCTCATTAGAAGCATGCTTCAATGTTGTCAGGCATGCATACAAGCGCATGGGGGCCATACAAACTATGAAGTACCATTTTGAGTTGCTACAATGAAATTTCAGCAAAATGGACTAGCTTGCTGCATCATTTTTTCACTTTGACTTTTGGGGTGTCTTTGATGGAAATGAAAATTATCAACCTACAGAGGACTAAATTCAAACGATGGGGCTTCCTTATGTTCCTAACACATTACCCAGTCCATATCAGTATTGATATCCACCATATTTTTACCCATTGAGATCTGATGCGTCTTCACAGTGTTTGTTTAATTTGAGCATTGTATTTACTGTTGCTAGCAGCATAATGATTAAACAAGTCAATATTGACTTGGAGAGTGAAGTTGCACTTTGAGTAGAGATATGACATCATCAGTCTGCTGCTGCAGAGAAACTGGTACTACTCACCTGGCTGTGCTATGTGGCAGACCTGTCTAAATGTCAAGACTTGATAGTCAGAAATACAAATCCATTGGAAGTTTAAAGCGTTTCATAATATGTATTGAATCTATTTATTTAGATGTTTGCCTGAAGTAGGGCCTAAACCTGCATTCACGCATTGGTGCCATGGTGCAATTTATTCTTAATGGAAAACCAATGCACATTCATAACAATGTACCACAAAGCAGGTAGTGCACTTATCTTTTTTGGTGGGGTTTGAAGTAGTCGGCGGCCTATTTAATTAAAAAGCATGTGTCAACGTAAATACAGTACTGCAGTGCAACAATGTGATTTTAGTGTTACAGTGCACATGTTATTAAGCAAAGTTGTATAAGTAAACATGTTTATGTAAGAGCCCATGCAGGAAGAGATAGCAGACCACCGTAGATGAGAAGATGTCATACACAGGACTTTCAGGCCTCATGCACACTGCAGCTCAAAGAAGCTGCTTCTACATATATATATTCGTGTGTAAATATATACTGTGCAAAAGTCTTAGGCAGGTGTGAAAAATGCTGTAAATTAAGAATGCGTTAAGAAGTAGAAGTGTTTATTTTTATCAATTACTAAAAGTAAATTAACCAAAGAGAAATCCAAATCAAATTAACATTTGGTGTGACCACCCTTTGCCTTCAAAACAGCATCAGTTCTTCTAGGTATACTTACACAGAGTTTTTCAGCTAGGCTCTCCAGCCCTTTGTGAACAAACTGCCTTTTGCTACAGCCATATATTTAAAGTTTTAGTAAAAACCATACCATACCATATTTAACATTTTAACTCATCAGTCCAGAGCACCCGCTTCCATTTTTCTGCCCCCCCCCCCCCCCCCCCAGTTCCTATGTACTTGGGTATAGGACATGGAAACAAGGCTAAGCAACTCAACTATGCATGAAAGCATGGGAACTGGGGAGCAGAAAAAATGGCAGCAGGTGCTCTAGACTGAAAAGTCCAAATTTGAAATATTTGGCTGTAAGGCTACGTTCACACTAGCCTTGTGTGCAGGCGGCAGAGAGGCGTTTGGGAAGCGTTTTTACCGCTTCCCAAACGCCTCTGCCAATTCTGCACATTACAGCACATGGTGCTGGTCTAACGGGAGCGTTTGCGTCGCATTGCGTCGCGGCAAAACGGACGCCTCTAGACGAGTCAGGAGGCTTTGAAGCCTCCTATTCTCGTCTATGGTGCCGCTCCGCAAACGCCCGGCCGGCGTTTGTGACGCGGTTGCGGGGCGTTTGCGGAGCGGTAACACCACTCAAACTGCATTATAGGCATTTGTGGGGCGTTATTAACGCTCGGCAAACGCCTAGCAAACCGCCGCTAAACCGCGCATGCGGCGTTTGCGGAGCGTTTGCCGAGCGTTAAAAAAACGCTCCGCAAACGCCGGACCAACGCTTGCCAAACGCTATAGGGGCGTTTGGCAAGCGTTGGCAAAACAGCCTTTGTGAACGAGCCCTAACAGTTGTTTTTGTTGTGGGGTGTATTCATTTTTGCATCAACTAATTTGAGATTACAAAATCTTCAGTTTTACTCAAATTAGTTGATGCATAAATGAATACAATCCACAAAAAAAAACTACTCCATCTAGTAGTTTGTATGACCTCCATGATTTGTAAGGACAGCGCCAAAGTCTTCTAGGCATGGGTATGAACAAGTGTGCGACGGCGTGCAACATCTATCTTTTTCCATTCTTCAAGAATTACCTCTTTTAGAGCCTGGATGCTGATGGAGAGTAAAGCTCAACCTGTCTCTTCAGAATTCCCCATAGATGTTCGATTGGGGTCAGATCAGGAGACATACTGTCACGTACCTGATTGGAAACTGAAATGACGAGGCCTCACTTGTGTCACTAGCCCTGACCCCACTGGAAGTGGAACAGAGGGTGTCTAGGGACCAGGGGAGCAAGAGCGCCAGCAGATGTTGTTTGCAGCTCTTGCAGTTGGAGACTTTGGAAGACTGATGAACCTCTGATTCAGGATGAGTAGTAATATGCAGAGCTGGTATGGTAGATCGCCAGGCGTGCACCAGAGCATGGCAGGAAGCAGGGATGGGAGACAGGAGCAATGTCATAGGAATAGCCAGGGTCATCAACGGGCGGACAGCGAGGTATCATATCAAAAGCAAGCCAAAGTCAGGAGCAGAGCCGAAGTCAGGAACCAGTATCAAGCAGGGGAGTAATCAGAGTCAGGTCAGGAACAAGCCGGGTCAGCAACAAGGAAATCACACAGGAACGAGCAGGAAATGGGGAACTGAAGACCAGTCAGAACTCAGCACAGGCAAAGGCACCTTTTAAATAGTCCATCTGGTGCCAATGTTCACCGTGCATGTGCACATGTGCATGCGTGTGCACGATCGTGCATTTCTGTGATCATGTGCACTTCTATTTGCCAATCATCTGACCGGGATTCCCTTACACATACCGTATTTTTCGCTCCATAAGACGCACTTTTTTCCTCCCCAAAAATTGGGGGAAATGTCTGTGCGTCTTATGGAGCAAATATTGACCAGGTCTCCCCCCACCGTGTTAGAATACCAGGCCAGGGGGCGGGCCAGGTTCAGAAGCTCCACTGACCCCGCCCCATGCAGCCTGTATGCTCAAGAGGGAGCTGCTGTAGTAGAAGTTGTGATGTGAGTGGGAGCCCCGCCCCCGGACCTCAGAGAAGATGCTGAGCACGGCTGGCCAGGTATGTCGTCCCCACCCCCCCCCCCCCATAGACTGCCTGTGGACTGTTATACCAAACCCTGAACTGTTTTTCACAAACTTTACTGTGTCCGCAGCCTCTGTCATCTCCTGTACTGTGAACTGCAGTCTCTGGTCATCTCCTGTACTATGTCCTCTGGTCATCTCCTGTACTATGTCCTCTGGTCATCTCCTGAACTATGTCCGCAGTCTCTGTCATCTCCTGTACTGTGTCTGCAGTCTCTGGTCATCTCCTGAACTATGTCCGCAGTCTCTGGTCATCTCCTGTACTGTGTCTGCAGTCTCTGGTCATCTCCTGTACTATGTCCGCAGCCTCTGGTCATCTCCTGTACTATGTCTGCAGTCTCTGGTCATCTCCTGTACTATGGCTGTAGTTTCTGGTCATCCCCTGTACTATGTCTGCAGTCTTTGGTCATCTCCTGTACTATGTCTGCAGTCTCTGGTCATCTCCTGTACTGTGTCCGCAGCCTCTGGTCATTTCCTGTACTATGTCTGCAGTCTCTGGTCATCTTATGTACTATGTCTGCAGTCTCTGGTCATCTTATGTACTATGTCTGCAGTCTCTGGTCACCTCCTGTAGTATGTCTGCAGTCTCTGGTCATCTCCTGTACTGTGTCCGCAGCCTCTGGTCATCTCCTGTACTATGTCCGCAGCCTCTGGTCATTTCCTGTACTATGTCTGCAGTCTCTGGTCATCTTATGTACTATGTCTGCAGTCTCTGGTCATCTTATGTACTATGTCTGCAGTCTCTGGTCATCTTATGTACTATGTCTGCAGTCTCTGGTCACCTCCTGTAGTATGTCTGCAGTCTCTGGTCATCTCCTGTACTATGTCCGCAGCCTCTGGTCATCTCCTGTACTATGTCTGCAGCCTCTGGTCATCATCTCCTGTACTATGCCTGTAGTTTTTGGTCATCTCCTGTACTATGTCTGTAGTTTTGGTTCAGAATATTTTTTTTTTCTTGTTTTCCTCCTCTAAAACCTAGGTGTGTCTTATGGTTAGGTGCATCTTATGGAGCAAAAAACATGGTACCTGGCCACTGAATCCCTTTCACTCTGTTCTTCAGAAATGCAACAGTGGCCTTAGATGGATCTTTGTTATGTTGGAAAAGTGCATGAAGACCAAGGGCATGGAGTGATGGTAGCATCTTCTCTTTCAATATAGAGCAGTACATCTGTGAATTCATGATACCATCATTGAAATGCAGCTCCCCGACACCTGCAGCACCCATAAAGCCCCACAAAAGGACACTGCCACCACATGTTTCACTGTAGGCACAATGCATTTTTCTTTGTTGTACTCACCTTTGCAATGCCATACAGTTTTGAAGCCATCAGTTCCAAAAATATTCATCTTGGTTTAATCACTCTAGAGTACAAAGTCCCAGTAGTCTTCTTTTTCAGCATGGGCCCTGGCAAAGTCTAAGTGGGCTTTTTTGTGCGTGGGCTACCTTCCTGGATGACACCCATGCATGTCATTCCTCTGCAATGTATGTCATATTGTGTCACAAGAAACAATCACCCCCAGTTTGGCTTTCTACTTCTTTAGCTAACTGCAGTGAACTTGCTTGGCGATTTTCTTCAACCCTTCTCATCAGAAGACGCTCATGTCGAGGTATTACTTCCGTGGATGGCCTGGACGTCTCTGTGAGATGGATGCAGTTCCATCTTTGCAAAATTTTTGTAATCACTTTTGCTACAGTACTCTGATAAGTAAAGCTTTTCTGATCTTCTTGCAGCCTTCACCTTGTGTGAAAAACTTATTTTCATTCTCAGGCCTTGTGACATTTCTCTTCCATGTGGTGCCATTGCTGACAGCATGAAATGGGAAAGGGGTTTTATTTGTTAAGTAACACCCTCTAATAATCAACTGTCTGCTGGACACCTGTTTAATGAATAATTAGACTCACCTGTAGTTGAATTCTTGCTAATTAGGATTTTGTTGCCAAAAATTTAGCTTTGCTCCTAAGACTTTCGTTGGGGCGTATTCATTTTTGCAACATGATCTTCTTTAATGAATTTGTTAGGAAAAATACTTTCACACACACAGTCAGGTCCATAAATATTGGGACATCGACACAATTCTAACATTTTTGGCTCTATACACCACCACAATGGATTTGAAATGAAACAACCAAGATGTGCTTTAACTGCAGACGGTCAGCTTTAACTTGAGGGTATTTACATCCAAATCAGGTGAACGGTGTAGGAATTACAACAGTTTGCATATGTGCCTCCCACTTGTTAAGGGACCAAAAGTAATGGGACAGAATAATAATCATAAATCAAACTTTCACTTTTTAATACTTGGTTGCAAATCCTTTGCAGTCAATTACAGCCTGAAGTCTGAAATGCATAGACATCACCAGACGCTGGGTTTCATCCCTGGTGATGCTCTGACAGGCCTCTACTGCAACTGTCTTCATTTCCTGCTTGTTCTTGGGGCATTTTCCCTTCAGTTTTGTCTTCAGCAAGTGAAATGCATGCTCAATCGGATTCAGGTCAGGTGATTGACTTGGCCATTGCATAACATTCCACTTATTTCCCTTAAAAAACTCTTTGGTTGCTTTTGCAGTATGCTTTGGGTCATTGTCCATCTGCACTGTGAAGCGGCGTCCAATGAGTTGTGAAGCATTTGGCTGAATATGAGCAGATAATATTGCCCGAAACACTTCAGAATTCATTTTGCTGCTTTTGTCAGCAGTCACATCATCAATAAATACAAGAGAACCAGTTCCATTGGCAGCCATACATGCCCACGCCATGACACTACCACCACCATGCTTCACTGATGAGGTGGTATGCTTAGGATCATGAGCAGTTCCTTTCCTTCTCCATACTCTTCTCTTCCCATCACTCTGATACAAGTTGATCTTGGTCTCATCTGTCCATAGCATGTTGTTCCAGAACTGTGAAGGCTTTTTTAGATGTCGTTTGGCAAACTCTAATCTGGCCTTCCTGTTTTTGAGGCTCACCAATGGTTTACATCTTGTGGTGAACCCTCTTATTCACTCTGGTGAAGTCTTTTCTCTTGATTTTTGACTTTAACACACATACACCTACCTCCTGGAGAGTGTTCTTGATCTGGCCAACTGTTGTGAAGGGTGTTTTTCTTCACCAGGAAAAGAATTCTTCGGTCATCCACCACAGTTGTTTTCCGTGGTCTTCCGGGTCTTTTGGTGTTGCTGAGCTCACCGGTGCATTCCTTCTTTTTAAGAATGTTCCAAACAGTTGTTTTGGCCATGCCTAATGTTTTTGCTATCTCTCTGATGGGTTTGTTTTGTTTTTTCAGCCTAATGATGGCTTGCTTCACTGATAGTGACAGCTCTTTGGATCTCATCTTGAGAGTTGACAGCAATAGATTCCAAATGCAAATAGCACACTTGAAATGAACTCTGGACCTTTTATCTGCTCATTGTAATTGGGATAATGAGGGAATAACACACACCTGGCCATGGAACAGCTGAGAAGCCAATTGTCCCATTACATTTGGTCCCTTAACAAGTGGGAGGCACATATGCAAACTGTTGTAATTCCTACACCGTTCACCTGATTTGGATGTAAATACCCTCAAATTAAAGCTGACAGTCTGCAGTTAAAGCACATCTTGTTTGTTTCATTTGAAATACATTGTGGTGGTGTATAGAGCCAAAAATGTTAGAATTGTGTCGATGTCCCAATATTTATGGACCTGACTGTGTGTGTGTGTGTGTGTGTGTATATATATATATATATATATATATATATATATATATACACAGTGTGTGTGTGTATGTATGATATATATAAAAATTAATTTGTTTATCTGTCCATCCAGTCCTGAAACATACACAGCTCAGCCAGACTGGTGACTTGCTTATCTTTGCTGCAGTTACCACCTGGCCACCTTCCTGCCCCCAGCCTGTAATTGAACAGTGAAGGAGCACCAGCAGGGTGCTTTCTCCTCCTGTTGGCATGCTCCTTAGCAATTTATTTTCCTGCTGCACACCTGATTGCCTCCTAGTCCCCCCTACCTTTTAGACTGAGTGCTACTGTAGAGGATATTGCAAGCGGCTGAAATGAAGTAGTTGTACTAATTAACTGTAGGACCCATTCATGCTGTTACGGTCTAATAAAGTTCATAATGCTGCAGCACATGGTAACTTGCATTTTCTGTTGGTGTGATGCAGTGCCATTCACTATTAATGGCACCCACTTTATAGTGCTATAGTGCAAAAAATGGTTAATGTCTGTTTTTTTTCCAGTGCAGCCTCGTGTGTTGCATTCAAATAAATGGGCTGCCTTAATGCATTGCACATTAGCACGCTGCATAACATGTGCATTAGACTATAACAGTGTGGATGTCATTTTTAAATTGATACATAAATGCATTCTTTTTTTTAATAGGTGCCATGCTTAAGCATTGAAAACTACAGTATGTCCTTTCTGTGCTTTTCTCATCCTTCTTCCCCCAACTCCATCCCCCCCTTCTAATATTTACTCCTAAACCTATATTGCAGAAATGATAGTCTACTCTGTAATCATTGTAAACCCAAGCACTTTGTTAAGGCCTAAATCAATGAACGTGACATGTACATCTGCTTGTTTGATACCTCTTATCTAAAACATTAGGTTATTATGTTTGTGCATGAAAGATACCTGAACTAATATATTATCCTTACAAGTACCCACAAGAAGATTATAGAATATGATGTATGATATAGATACCACAGAAAGATATAGATCTAACATAATATACAAAATAACAAAGCTACAGTCTGTGATATAGGGTTTTGTTAACACTTGGCCAATGGAGAAATATTCTGGAATTGGCTTCAAAATATCAGTGGATCAATGTTGGACACATTTGGACACATTTGCTGATACAGTATATTATCAAAATGAAGGTAATGTCTGACTTTAATATGACAAAATAGTACAGACAGATATCTTAATAATCATATCAAATATACATTCGCCGGCCACTTTATTAGGTATACCTATTCAATTGCTTGGTAACACAAATTACATAGTTGGCCTAAAAAAGACAAAAGTCCATCCAGTTCAACCAAAATAAAGGTTTAACCCTATACCCAAAGTACTACTTAGCCAATCACATGACAGCATTTAGGCATGTAGACGTGATGAAGACAACTTGCTATAGTTCAAACTGAGTATCAGAATGGGCAAGAAAGGGGATTTAAGTGACTTTGAACATGGCATGGTTGATGTTGCCAGACAAGCTGGTCTGAGTATTTCAAAAACTCCTGATCTACTGGGATCTTCACACACAACCATCTCTAGGATTTACAGAGAACGGTCCGAAAAAAGAGACAGTATCCAGTGAGCTACAATTGAGTGGAGGAAAATGCCTTGTTGATGTCAGAGGAGAATGAGCAGACTTGTTCGAGATGATAGGCAACAGTAACTCAAATAACCACTCGTTACAGCCAAGGTATGCAGAATACCGTCTCTGAATGCACAACACATCGAACATTGAAACAGATGGGCTGCAGCAGCAGAAGACCACACCGGGTGCCACTCCTGTCAGCTAAGGAAGACTACAATTTGCAGGGAAACGGAGGCTACAATTCACACAGGCTCACCAAAATTGGAAAATAGAAGATTGGAAAAACATTGCCTGGTCTGATGAGTCTCATTACCACACCTAGATGCCTAAATGCATTGAGTTGCTGCCATGTGATTGGCTGATTAGCAATTTGTGTTGCCAAGCACTTGAACAGGTGTACCTAATAAAGTGGCTGGTGAAGTGTTCAGTAAAATACATAACAAAGAAACTAGTGTACAATAAATAAATATAAAAATTGTTGGCATAAACATAAAACATCCGTGCAGGTGCAAACTGCAACAATCAGTGTATTATTGTGCATCACACAATAACCTGAAGAGGAGTTCTCTGCCCCCCCCTTCCCAAAAAAAAAAAAAAAAAAAAGTCAGCAGCTACAAATACTATAGCTGCTGCCATTTAATATTTGGACACTTGCCTGTCCAGGTTTCCAGCAGTGTCCTCACCCATGCTGATTCTTCAATCGGCTATCAGGTGCAGGCGCCGCCATCTTGACAAAGGGAAACCAGCAGTGAAGCCTTGCAGCTTTACAGCCAGTTTCTTACTGAGCATGCGCAAAACTTTGTGAATGGGCCACAGTCTTCTGGGACCTATAAAGTGTCCCAGAAGGCTGCAAGGGTAAGGAGGGGGGGAGACTTTCCAGGTCAGTTCGGAAGGTACAGGTAAAGGCTCCCCCCAGAAGGTGCCAAATATGACAGTGGAAGGGGGAGGAGGCAGACA